AATTTCGGCATTTATAAATCAAAGGTACAAAAGCATTTTAATAAAAAAACCATTGAAACCTAGAACGGTTATGATACTAAAAGATGCATATACCATGTCTTTTTCCACCAATTATCTCTAATGAAAATATTAATTCTCTAACTGAGTAAAAAAAAAAAAATGTCACATTTAATATATCTATAGAAAGCTCTAATTACAAAGATTTTAATGACACCCATATTGCCAAGGTAAAATACAACTCTTTGTAGAAAAATCTGCAATCAAAATTTCGGCATTTATAAATCAAAGGTACAAAAGCATTGTCTTTAGATATTTTTGCTTTGATTGACAGCTTTAAAAAATGTCCTTTTAAAATCCTTCCACCAGCTTTTAAATCATTTCCACGAACAAAAGCAAATTGCCCCCTTGTCATGGGCATATCACCATTCATGCATTCTAAGTGGGTGGTAATGGAATTATTAGTTATATAATGGTTTTCTTCTTCTTCCCCACCAATTACGATTACATATGTGCTGTACTTTTTTTTATGCCGTGGAAGCGCTGGGCCGAACTCATTTTCTCACCTTTTATTATTATTATTAATTTTTTAGTGTTTAATAATTACATTAATTAGATCATGATTAATTCAAAATTTAATCATGTCAATCCCCGTAAGAAGAGAAACTTTTTTAATATTTATTTATTTATTTATAAGATCTAAATTCAAGATTTTATTTAAAATGAATTGAATTCTTTTCATTTAAACTAATAAGTCAATGGTTATATTTTGTTTTCTTTATTTTAACTCCTTTATATTTCATCTTTTCTCCATAAGATATGAAAAATTGCTTAAATTAGTTTAGAGAAAAATAGTAAAGTGCAAAATTTAAAGTTTTAAAATTAACATCTAACGAAAAAGAACAAGATCACAGTCATGAACCCCTATGAATAGGAACAAGAATAGTTTTTTTTTTTTTTGTTTAACTTATTGAAACTTTATGTTTCTTAATTTCTTGAATCTTCCAAGTTTTTGTTCGACTCCTTTGGAAAATCAGATCAGCAACTTTCTTTTT